CTGTGCCCCCCCCACTCGCTCTGACCTGGAGACTACTGCATATTGGGGACTTGGGAACCAGGTTCACGGGTGATAGTGTCTTCCCAGGCCCACTCTTGAAGAAGCTGTGAGGTTTATTCACATATATGAGTGTTTCCCACAGACAGTGTCAGCAAGATCTGTGCCAGTATTATAGCATGAGTCACGATGTTCTGCCTTTAATTACTTGGGTTTGTGCCTGACTCCAGTTTCAAGACAGCAAAGATGAAGGAGGTGCTCAGGTTAAAATCTTATTGCTCTAGGATTTTATTGGTAGTAGCCTGCATCTCTGAAGACAACATAATCCTTATCCCTTACCATTAACTAAAAATAGCAACAGTCATACAGTTAGTGTCGTACTTCCCACGCCTTGGGTATCTGGCCTCATGTTCCTTGTGGCAGCTAGTGGTGGGCCTTTGGTGCAAACATCTTTAGCCGATAAAGAACTATCTAGTGCTGTCCCTCATCTTCAGCTCTTCGTGGCCTTTGCTTTGCGCATGCTTCCCCTATCTCCCATTTTCTTTGTGTCTCTTCACTCTCACCGTGTCTGCCTCTGGTCATTGTCTGGAACTCTTCAGCCACCTCCTCATCCTTTTTAGCTTCTGTCACTACTGCTACCACTACTGCTACTACTGCCAGTGCTGGAGGCTCTTCTTCGAGTTAACCAGTTCTTCCCATTCTCCCTGGGATAAATGTCACAAGCAGACAAGAGGAGGAAACCACCCAGAACTTTTTTATTGGAACTAATGTTACAATACCCAGGGGAAGCAGCACATGCAGCCATCTCCAGGCTGACATTACTATTAGCCTGAAAAGGCACACGGCATGAGTATGGTATACAAATGTGGTATTGTAATTTGTACCAATCACATCAGTTTCCAAATCCATCAGCCCCAGGTCTTGCATAAGGACTGGTTACACACCTCACATTGCATAAAGCACAAGTTTTCTGTTGAGCCACTGAGGGAAGCCTACCATCTCCAGTTCCACTCTGACCTAAGTGAGAACTGCAAAGTGAGGAGGGTCATCTGTAGTGACCTTGTCTAAGAGAGATGTCTTCCAAGGCAGGTCCATGTTATCTGAAGAATACATAAATGGAGCAAGGCCTTCTAAAACAGAAGTCACAGAGTCAGTTGTAGCCAGCCTTGAAGCTAGAGTAAAGTGTTGCTCAGAACAATGGTGAAGGATTTAGAACATAAGGGTTGTCTTGGAGGCAAGATAGTTGGCTGCCCAGGGGTTGCTTTGATGGACATTCCCTACTTAAGAATATTGAGCTTGAGAATATCGGGCAACTTCTGCTCAAGAGGTTGAACTGATAAGTTATTGAAAGGAAAAGAAATCAAGACACATGTACATCGAAGAACTGACATGAAACTAGAATTCTTAGCATTTTGCAGAGCTTTGTTGTTATTCTCTATTCATTGCTAAGTTTTGCTTAATCACTTGGCAAATGCTGCAAGGAGTAACTGGGATGACTGAGCATATGAAAACAATGGATCAGTGATAAGATCTGACTGCAGTACTATGCTTTTAAATCAGAGATTCTCAATCTGTGGGTCGGGACCCCTGTGCATATTTATGTTATAATTCATAAAAGTTGCAAAATTGTAGTTATGAAGTAGCAAAAACAATAATTTTATGGTTGGGGGTCACTGCAACATGAAGAACTATACTAAAAGGTCCCAGCATGAGGAAAGTTGAGAACCATTGCTTCAAATGAACTTTTGAGTTATATTTATTGAAAGATAAACATTAAAAAAGTAAGAAGTGGGTTATTAGAGGAAATATTTTCTTTTCTTAGTTCCTAGATTTTACAGAATGTGTAAGTTCACAAACCAGGAAGACTTAGGGTGACAGTTAAGGTAATAAATAATTCAAATATGACAATTTTAAGTCAAGTGATGAATTCAAAACAGTAAGTCAGTGCTTGCCTTACTCTTTCCAATCACTGTCTTCCTTCACCTAGAAAGTGTGTCATTTCAGTCCTCAGAAACATCTTCCAGAGAATACATGAGAGAAGGAGTGAACTTCTCAGGACATATGTAAGAGCTAGGCTGGTTCAACAATCAACATTAATCATAAAACTCAGAATGCTTTTGGCCATGCTTCTGTGTCCCCTCCTCAATTCACTTATGTCTCCTTCTCTGCACATGCAATTGACTTACCAGTCACACAAATAAGTGGAGAGTATCATCACAGTATCATTAGACTCAACAACAGCTCTTGATGTTCCCTCTGCAAAGTACGCACACCCAAGACTTCCGTCGTCTTCTCAGTCAAAAGCCAAGAACCCATGCCCAGTTCTTTTCTTTCCCTGCCACAATGCAGTTTAACCTGCCAAGTCCTCTTACTTCTCCATTCAAAATGCATTTCACACTTGTCTACTTTTCTGAATCTTCACTGTGATGGGGGATGTTCTTCTGTATGCTGTGGATATATGTTTCTCTTATTGGTTTATGAATAAAGCTGTTTTAGCCAATGGACAGACAGTATTTAGCCAGGTAGGAAATCCAAACAGGGATAGAAAAAGGTAGTAGGCAGAGTCGAGGAGATGGCATGTAGCTACTGAGAAGGTAGGATGTCTGGGCAGTCTCCAGTAAGCCAAGACCACATGGAGATACATAGATTAATAGAAATTGGTTAATAACTAAGAGAGAACTAGCTATTAAGAAGCCTGAGACATTGGCCAAACAGTTTATAATTAATATAAACCTCTGTGAGTTTATTTGGGACTAAATAGCCATGGGACCAGGTGGAACAGAAACTTCCATCCATATCACTGCCTAAGTTCAAAGAGCCTCATTCCTTACCTGGATTGCCACAGCAACCTCCTAATAATGTCTTTGCTTCTATTCTGTATGGCAACCAGGATAATCTTTAAAAAAGAAACAAAATTCAAATCACATTAGTGGTTTGCTAACAAACCTCCAACACCTTCCTTAGAATAAAGAACAAAACCACCTCCCTTGTCACAGACCCTCCGACTTCTCAGACTCTGGCCTCTGCATCTCAGATGGCTCTGCTTCTGTTCCTGCTGCTTCTATATACTTCCCGATCTCTGTTCCATTCTTTGGATTTTATCTCTACCTGAGTGCTCTGTTTCTAGAATAACACACAGCTGGAAGCCATAGTTCAATATCACCACAACCAAAGTAAACCCTCCCCTTTATAAAGTAATTCCTGTCTTAGGTCTTTTTAAAATTTAATTTAAAAAAGGGTTTCTCTATATACCCCAAGCTTGCTTCAGACTTTCTATGTAGTTCAACATGGTCTCAAACTCATCATACTCCTGCTTCAGCCTCCTCAGTTCTAAGACTAAATGTAGGATCCACCTCATCTGGCTACTGTGTTCACTGACTTATCATCTACTCTTCCTGGTTCATGTAAACTCTAAATGAAGACAGTTGATGTTCTGGCACCTAGAACAGTGAAACATGTAGTAGGGTGTTTGTTTTGTCCACTTTCCCACTTGTCTTTCATCAAGAGGGTTAAAATCTGAGGGGGGAGTATTTTTTTTAAATGCACATGCTCAAATACAGGATGGTTCTAGATCAACACAAAATGGCAAGTGAGGGGAAGAATATTACTGTTGTATGAGAGCTCTGAAAATCATGCAGAGGCAGAGTTTAATGGAGATGCTTTTTTATTCTCCCTCGTTATGATTTATATCATTATTTTCTATTGAAAGCAACGCATACCAATAACTGTATTGCCACTAAGTGGATAGTTACACTAAAAACTAACGTGGTAAAATAAAGTGTGATGAGACCAAAGCATTTCACATTCAGTAGCCGCAGTCACTCTGTCCAACTTCCTCCTGTTGGTTTACTTCCGTCTGAGGCATCAATATATCTTTTACTTTTGAAAGATACCTTTTTAGAAGGAGAGGAATATTTCAGCAACCATCTGCTGAAGTTTTCATACAATGTAATGAATAAACATTATAAATGTGTAAGTGACCCTGACCTACTTCAGAATTAGGGGATTTCTCAAACTGGTTCAGAAGTACAAATTTGCTTCTCATGAGTCAAGACTCCATTCAAACTGATGAGTCAAATTATTTTTCTTTTGTTTTTGAGCAAAGAGGTTTCTATTGACCTAAGATGTGTCCTTTGTTCTGCAGATAACCAATTGCTCACATGAAAAGTAGCTTTGTTATCTGATAACCACAATTCAAATGTGAAGAGGATGAATTCTAGCTGAGATAGTTCAAAAGTAACATGGTAAGTCATGGTTAAAACACCTCTTGAGTCACTGGACTCTGAACTACTGTTGGAGAACTCCAGTAAGGGTCTTCTTAATCTAAACTAGCTGCTGTTAATCAATTACACTGTTAAAACATAAACTATAAAGTGAATACAGTCTCAAAGAAAGCACTGTATTCCCTGACCAAAAACAATGACTTGTTTTAAACACCGAGCATCACCCTCATCCAGACTCAGCTTTGGCCTAAATTCTCACTCAAAAGTCTAGTGGTAGCAAACCTGTTCTCTCAAGAGAGAGAGGCTCTTGTTTACTGGTACAAACTTACCTCACTGTTGCTTCATAAACAACATGGAGATAGGGAGCAATAGGGGGAAACCATAAAGGGCAGAATGCTGTAAGGGGAGAAAATTCAGAAAACCTGATTTCTATCCCTATATAGTTTCTCTGGGCTTCATATTACAGAATGTAAAAATAAGAATAGAGTTCTCTTGGACCCCATTAAACTCTGAAATGGAAGGAAGGACAGAAGGGAGGGAGGCAAGGATGAGAGCGAAAGGAAGAGGAAGAGATGGTTTAGAGTCTTTCTTGGGCAGCAAATGATTAAGAGTCTATCTACAATGAATTATCAAGATAATAACACAGCATTATAAATCATAATTTGTGGGTGGAGAGATAGATCAGTGGGTAAACACTTGCTGAGCAAGCATGAAGATCTGAATTTTGAATCCCAAAATGCAGCTGTCATGGCTGATCCTGAGCGCTCACTGGCCGATCAGTGTAGCCAAATTGCAAGCTTCATATTTTGTGAGAATAATCTATCTCAAATCAATGAGGTGGAAATGATAGAGGAAGGCATCTAACCCACCATATACATGTTCATAGACACAAATATTCACATGCATGTAACACATATGCACACACACACATTTTTTTAATCTTAAAAAAATAAAAATTATTTTCAAAGTGTCCCTTGAACATACCCACTTCCTCAGGGAATTTATTTAAAATGCTACTGATGGAGAGTGATTGCAGCACAATAATTAGTAAATCTGCCACAAGATAAGTAAGGTGCTTCCAGCTCATTTCAACTCAACCAATTTTAGAAAGCTCTAGCTTAACCTTTCTCAATACCACAGACCTTGCAGACTCATTTCCACTAGGCACTATTGTCCCTCTGTCTTTAGTAAACCTTGCAGTGGGGCAGAGAGGAGCATTGTTGCCTCCCAATTCATGGCTTTGGTGCCAAGACCTTTGCTGTCATCGAGTCCCCATGGCAGTGTTAATGTAGAGAGAGAAATTCCTTGTGCCAAGTTTCTATTAACTAAATGGCATGGGGAGTAGGTTTTAGCCTGAATGTTCGAAATTGAGTACACCATAAAGATCTTCTGCAATTAGATGAGAAGACACGAATGTGACAGTGTTCAAAATATTCTCAAATGTTCCAGTGAGTGAACTATGTAAATTCCGATTTTTCCCTCTGTTTTTCTTTTCATCTCACCTAGATGTATGCCTAAATCTTCCCTGACTCCCCCAGGGACAACAGTCCCTGCATGTCCCTACACTACAGCCCAAAGATATCTACCACTTAAGGGGAAATGAGAATTCATCCCTCTCCATTACCATTTAGTAAAACACAGAGGATGGTTCTTGTAGGTTCTTCACCAACCCTGGGTGCCTGGCTAGGTTTTCCAGCAGTAGTCACGATTTTCCTCTTGTGCAGTGGGTCTGAAGTCTAACCAGAGAGTCACTGGTTACCACCAAAGTATTGTGCCACTCCAGAACCCTTGCTGGTTATTGTGTGGTCCATAGGCATCATAGCTGGGTAGGACTGGTGGCTCCTTCCCTCCTTTAGAACCTTGCATGACACATTCTGGTACCATGGGAGCTAACTCTCAGGGAGGACACAGCATAGTCCCTAACTACATTCTAAGGATATAAGGATATGTGTCCTTATATCCACAAGTAAGTGTGGCCCTCACTCCTCAGCAAGGGAATTTCTCTTTTCAGTGGAGACCATTGCAGACCACAATCAACCAGAATGCAGAATAGTGGAGCCCAGTCCCAGTGGGTACATCTACAGAACACTCCTGCACTTAAGGAAGAGGAGACAGAAAGATTCTAAGAACCAAAGGACCAGGGAGTTTCCCATGAGACTATGTCTTCTAGCAATGTATGATCTATACCCATGAAGTCACCAACATGACTGCATAAACAAGAGATGAACACGGACAACAACCATAGACAAGCCAGAGTAGATAGAGAAATCCCATGAGGCCTCAACCCTATGCAAAGAATTAAAGTCAACTAAGGAATTCTGAAAGCAGGAGAAATGGTCTCATCTAGGGAAGAACACACAGGTTGGTTATCTAATACCACATGGTCAGCCCTGAAGTCAGCTGGTTATATATATATACATATATGTATGCATATATGTATATGTGTGCTTGTATGTATGCATATATATATGTGTGTGTGTGTGTGTGTGTGTGTGTGTGTGCTTGCCACAACAATTAGTGAAAATGGGATTGTTAATTTGAGAGCAAATTAATTGGGAGAGTTTGAACAGAAGAAGGGGAAGAGAGAAATGACATAATTACATTTTAATCTCAAAAATAAGCAAACAAAATACTGAGGATGGCTTCAGGGCCATTGCTTGCTGCTCCTTTTGTCTGACTCTCCACCCAAAATAGGACATTGTCACATTGCCTCCTCCTGCTATTTATTTGTTTGTTTGTTATTGATATGGGTCTCACTATGTTTCCCACATAAAAATGTAATTCAAGTGCCCAAGTGATACTCCTACTTCAGGTCTCCCAAGTAGCTGGAGCTAGAGATCCTATCTACCTCACCTTGCTCTCATTTATTCTAAATAAAATGATACTTCCTGATCTGGAGAGACAACTCAATGCTTAAAACCACTGGCTGTTCATCCAGAGGACATGTGTTTGATTCCCAGCACCCATATGGAGGTTTATAACCATCCATAACCCCAGTTTCAGGGGTTCTGACACCCTCTTCTGGACTATTCTGTGGGCATCAAGAATACACATGGTGCACATACATACTTGCATGCAGGCAAAACAATCATACACACAAAATAGAATAAGTAAATATTTAAAATAAAATTATCTAAAATGATACTTCCCTATGTATGTATTCACCCTTCTGCCATGTCATTTTTCTTAGACCTGCTAGACTTCTGAAATATATATTCATCTAAATATTATGTATTGCATACATGTAAGTGCTTACATAGAGCAGTTATTAAATATATTTCAGTATACTAATTAAATATACTCAATAAATTAAACCATCTTTTTAAAACAGTTAGGATAGTGGGAAAATGGAGAGAAAGGACTCAAAGCCATTCTGCCTCTTGGTTGTTCTCTCTTCTATATCTTCTAAAAAGTTGACAATGGCTTCCTGTCAGGGAATAACTACAGCACATAGGCAGATAGATGCTAGAGTTCCTTCTGTTCAGGAGATGACTACACTCTGGGATTTTCCCATCAGTAACAACACAATATCTTCACACATTTTATTGTCCTGAGAGCAAAGCTGTTGTCTGAAGTCTAGGGATAATGGCCTTGATGAAGATGTTTCTAATAACAACTTCTTTTCTCTCCCTGTTTCAAATACAGAATCTCTACCCTTGATTTTGTTTGCCTGGCTGACATTGTCAAGTTTAGGAAGATTGTTTAAGTTCTAAAAGCACCAATAAAATCCAGCAATTATTTACATACTTTGGTCTTCCTCCATCTTTGGTGTTGGTCAGTATAATTTCCTAGGTCTAGAGGTCCTAAAGATGATAAGATTGAAATAAAAGGGCAATGCTCATTTTCTCCTTTCTTCTTGGCCTTAGAAGGGAGCTACTCCACTAACATTCTAACATACACTAAGACTAACATAAATATTAGGGTCTGGCGGACGCTTAATGGAAGACACCCTCAGGGGAGCATTGTAAGACAATTGAGTTTCTGCTTTGGTCAGAAAACATGTTTTATATAAGCACCTTAACACTGCAACTAAAGCCTGAAGTTCTCTACAAATTGATGTAGTTACTGAACAGCTCTAGGATTTTCTGAAGAGACGTAAAAGTGGGAAGTAAATGTATGCTTCAGAATATGTTCCTCTCAGGAAGCCATGTCTACCGTCAGTTTCTTCACAGCCTGATGGTCTGTTTGCTTGAATGTCCCACAAACATCGTAGAAGTCCCTAAGTGCATTATAGTGGTGCACAGGACTATTAATATTCTTTCTGTCTCTGTACTAAATACTGCAGGTGCCCTACAAAGTAGCTCAGCTACTTTATCTAGAAATATCCTTCCCTTAAAGTTAAGATTTCAAGCCCACCAGCTCACCTATGAACACTTGACAGTGTCTCACCCAGACTTAATTCAAGATCTATGCCTTTCTCTTCTTACTGTTCACTACTTCCCCCTCAGAAAAAAATTGCCCTAAAATTGCTCATTTTGAACTCTAATATGCTATAGGTTATTTTCCCAATCCAGCATTTTCATTTCTGAGCAAAACTGGACAGTGTTCTAAGGGACAACAGTGCTTCATCAACAGATTTCTCTGATAGTCTGGTAGAATTGACAGCCAACAACCTAAGTCCAGTTTGTTTTATTTAGAGATTTCACTTTTCTTTCTTAGGTCAATAGATGACAACATAAATAAAATCAATCAAGTTATATGAAGATGAAGAAATTAAGTCAACCACTCAGAACCTAACGTATCACGTTTTAACCATTGTGTGTATAGAAAGCAATCCAATATCACACACACAAAGTGTTAGGAAATCTATATCATTACTACACTAATTTTGTTAATGTAGGAAATGAGATGGTCTAGCATAAGCTTTCAGATAACCTTCCCCAGATCACACAGCCAGCAAGTAGGGGAGCCTAGGTTTAACCCCAACCCTACATGCTAAACCATTTGCATCATGATTTCCAAAAATGGCTCCAGTAGGACAGCAGCCCCACAATATATCTATTAAAAATTATTCCAGGGTCATGCTCATTACTTTATTTCATAGTAACTCAACAAAAAATATTGCCAAATAAGGGCTCTAAAAGGACCTGTTTGCCTTAGAATTACACATACTATAGCATGCCATGTTTTCTGTTTTTTTGTTTTGTTTTGTTTTGTTTTTGCACAACCACCACTGATACCTAAGGAAACATGATTGCAGAAACTTCTATTCACTATGATGGCAGAGGACAGGACTTCATACCCCCTTCCTAGCCTTCCTGGCTCCAGACACTGCCTATTACAAACAAGTTTGCTCTATATTTTCCAAGTGAGTCACACGACAGAAACCCTTTGTCACAAGTCTCTAAGCATCTATGTCCAATGTCAATGTGGTCTTCAGTGTGGTCTGCTGCTGCAATTTAAATGAATGTCCCCCAAAAGGTTCATCGCTAAGGGCTTGGTCCCCAGTGCGGCACTACTGGGAGATGATAGAAAGTGGAGCCTAGTGGAAGGTCCTCAGTCACTGGTGCGGGACCCCCAAAAGAAGTTCTTGGACCCTGATCTCTGTAGCCCTCTTTCTGTTTTACTGCCTGGCTTTGCATGGGAACAATGTGTTCCACCACATGTTTCACTGCGGTGTACAACACTTGCCAGAGGCACAGAGAAATAGATCCACCTGCCCTGGATTAGAACCTCTAAAACTTTAAACCAAAATAAATCTTTTCTACTCACAATTTAATTGCCTCAAACACTTCATTATAATATGAAACTGACAACATACCAAGCAAGTTAGGAGAATCTTTAGATAGGCCTTTCAAGAAAACAAATAGCCAGTTTAAATATATGGAGCCTGATACTAAACAGGAAGTTCTCAAAAGATGAGACATAAATTTCTGAGAAATGTATTTTTAATATTCAACATCCTTAGCCATCAGGGAAATTAAAATTACTTTGTGATTTCATCTTACTACAGTCAGGAGAGCTCATCACCATCCTAGTGGGGAAGGGTGGCAAGAATCAGACACAGTGGCTAGAGCAACAATCTGAGAACTCACACCTTAAACCTCAAGCACAAAGCAGAGAGTGAATTAGAAACGGCATGAGTCTTTAAACTCTCAAATCTCACCCTCAGTCATAGACTTCCTCAGCAAGAACATACCTCCTAAGCCTCTCCAAACAGTGCCACTACCTGGGGACCAAGTATACAAATGCCTGAGACTATGGATGACACATCATTCAAATCACTGTATGTTTTCTCTTGTTTGTGACTATTAGCTTTGAATCTTCAGATATGTGTTTCATTTGGAATACCCATAAAGGTCATAAAATTAGTAGGGGCCATTGGATTGTAGGGAAAGGTGCCAAAGGAGGGGAGATAGACAACTGTACTATACAAACTTAAAGGGGAACAGAACAGCAAGTGTTACGTTGGGGTGGAGAAATGGGAGGGCAGAGCAAAGGAGGGAACATGAGAAGAAATAAGTAACTTTAAAAACTTTTCAAAAAGCCATATAGAAGTCAGCCTACCACTATAAAAATGTGTGTGAGGGTAGGTGGGTGGATGTAGAGAGAGACATAGAATCTATATCTATATTATAGACAGACCGACAGATAGATAAACAGCAGATCTTGGGCAAAGTGCTGTGCATGAGTGAGAATAACCCTGTGGTTTCTGAAAGGTGAATAAAATAGAATTACAGTGACCTAAGCCTAGCTGCCTGTTCCTCAAAGTTATCCCAAGTCTCTCAGGGAAGTTATCCAAAGTCTCTCAGGGAAGGCAGCACTGCACGTTTGAACAAATGAGTTCATAAATTGAATGACTATCTCTAAGTACAGAAGGAGGGGGAAAGAGCATAAGTTAGTATTCACATTTATGTATTAGCACCTTTAGTACTAGAGTGGCGACAATTTCCTGATGCATGTTCTTGGATCCCTTATGATAGAGTTCAGAGAGCATCATGATGATCATGATCTTTGTGGAACTGGGCAAACCATAGGTTTCTCCTTACATTGGTTTCCTCATGTAAAAGTGAGAAAATAAAGGCTCTATTCTAAAAGGTAGTTGAGTCAATGCTAACATATAGGAAATGCTCATTAAAGCTGAACTGAGTTCAACATGGCCTTGAACAAGTCATTTCTTATAGAGTTCAGAGAGCATCATGATGATCATGATCTTTGTGGAACTGGGCAAACCATAGGTTTCTCCTTACATTGGTTTCCTCATGTAAAAGTGTGAAAATAAAGGCTCTATTCTAAAAGGTAGTCGAGTCAATGCTAACATATAAGAAATGCTCATTAAAGCTGAACTGAGTTCAACATGGCCTTGGACAAGTCATTTCTCCTTTCCAAGAGCTGGTTTTCAAGCCCTGAGAG